AAAAAATGTCGTAGAAAACGAAATTTGAAAAAAGAAGGCAAGCAGTCCGTGTGGCAGTTTATTGATGAATTGCTCAAGACTTGTGACTTTTCACCAAAATGTCACAACAATTTCCCCATTGTAATTATAACGTTCCGGCTAATTGCCGAACGGGACCACACCGCGGGCCACAAAATCCAAGTGTCATCGCATTGCATTTTGCAAACGAATCAATTACCTTTTTTTCTCATTTTTGTTTTTTTTTTAACTTGTTCTGTTTCTGAGGACCCCTGACTGATGTCTGTTTCCTTGCCAGGACAATCTGTATGTGTGTGTGTGTGTGTGGCTTTGTCTTGTGCTGCGACAACCACTTCCTATTTCTATTCGATTGCATGCCCATAAGGAACAGGACGGGACTGGGCTGCTTCCTTTGGCCCAATCGAGCCAATTATGTCATCATTAGTTTTGATTAGTTTGGGAAACGGCAGAGCGACCTTTGCAGCAGAGACAAAACGTACGTTTGTTTTGAATTTTCTGACACTTCCGGCACCACCTACTGTTTACCTTTTGGGCATGTTGTCCAGCTGGGCGCTGCATGTTGTTGTTTTGGTCGAATTTCTGGTTTCGATTTGAATGCAATTGCATAATAATGATGAACGTGTTTTTAATTAAGGGTGAATCGGCGCAAACTAATGCCAATACGAAAGTTTTATGCTATGTGGAAACCAAATGCTGCACATCTTTCTCCATTATCTGTCAGGGGACTATCTGAGTGTGGTTTATCTGACCAAACAGATTATGGCTCACCTCTGGCCATGTGCGCGGAATAACCATATAAGTCCTTAGGTCTCTCAACACACAACTATCTGTGCAACTATCTCTGGTCATACATTGCGCAGAGTTGTGCAAGTCCCGGCGTTAGGATTAGGTTCCAAATTGCATACATTTGCAGTGTGAGATAATGGAAAGATACGCTCATTAGGTGCGTTGAGTCGAAGCAGCGAAGGAGATTAGGTTGCAGACAATCGACTTATTAAGAGTGTGTTTATGCAGATAAACGCATCGTTTAGCGTGTGTCGGGACATACCCACTTTTCCGCCTAGGATTAGACGAGACTCGGGCTTGGAAAATACGATCGCAAATCGCCGATTGTAAGCAGCCTGTTGATAAGTAGCTCGTCTGGCTCTGAAGCGTGGCCTGTACAAATATAATTAGCGGGAAAGTCTCATAATCGGAACGAGCACAAAATCACACAAAGCATAGAAATACCAACATGCCAGCCACACACGTCGCAATGTGCGACATATTTTAGGCAACTGCGTGGCACTTTACTCGTGTTTGCGATACAAATCCATTTCTTTACACGAATTTGTCTTTAGTTTTGGTTTTGTTTTTTTGTTTTTTTTTTATGGGTTAGTCTACCTTTCCCTCTTGTGAAAGCATTTCCAGCAACCGCAAACATGCGAGCCGAAGAAAGCCAACAAGAGGCCCAGACAGGCTGTCTCCTATTCCCGCTGCTGGCCAATAAATTTCCCAATTAAATGGATCCTCTGACACTTTGTACAGGCAACAGCTACCACTACTGCCACTACCCCCTGCCAGCCCTTGGTTGTATGTGTGTGTGTGTGTGTGTGTGTGCGCATAGGGGATGAGGGTTGTTCCTCGACGGGGTTGAAAACCATCGACGCACTTTGCTTGGCCGAGAACTGGCGCTGTGAAAGGTAGCAATCGGTTATCTACGCTGATTTATCCATCGAAACAGGAACTCCATTTTTTTTTCTCTATGCACTGCTCTTTTCTTTTATTTAGTTGACTTTTTTGCACTGCCCATTCAATTGCTCCACTATTGTTGCATTGCGAAATTATGGCCCGTATATTTCTCTATTAGGGCACAAAAGACATTTCAATTTTCTGTGTGGCCTGGTTGGAAAGTGCAAGATCTCGTCCTGCTGCTGCTCGTTGGCAATTATCTAGTTGCAAAATTTCTGGACCACCCGATGACCTTTGTTTGGCCTTTTTGTGGTCATGAATGGCAGTTAGCCCAGTGCCTCCTACGTGGCAATTGTCTCAAGACCTCGTTGGGTTATTGATAGCCAAACTACTTTCTTGTTAGGATGTGACTTTGTCTCTGCGATTGTTCTGCCACAATACGGTCTTGTTTACTTTTATAGTTGGGCAATTATTATTTTTCATTTTGATTATAATTCCTACGAAATGTGCTGAACATGTTTATGGCACAGATATTGTGCAATGACTGACTCTTCAGTGCAATTAGATTATATTTACTGTTGCTTACGAGTCGAATTTCTTTAAATAATATGCGATTGGCTGACAAATTAAATTTCCACATTTAAAATATAATTTCTTATATAAGTTCTTTTTTAATACAATATTTTCTTTTGTTTATAAAAATGCAAAAAGCATTTCATGCTTATGCTCAATCATATTTGTAACAGGACAAAACGTGCCCAAAACATATATCTTTTTATTAAAAATATCGAAAGTTCTTATACACTTTTTATTATACTGGCACGGCTCAGTTTAATGCAGAAGTATTATGCTTAAGTTAACATATGTTAACAATGTTAACATATTTCAAAACCATCTGCCTCTGTTAAGCACATAAAATGTAAATGACATGTATGTTGGCAATTTAAATGAATAAACATTGTTGATATTTCTATGTTAAATATTATGTTATTATTAATTATTATTGTGGTGGAAGAAGTGCCCAAGTGGGCCACTCAATCAGGCAGCCAAAACAACGACTAATCAAAATGGATACAATAATAATAGATACGCCAATAATAGATACACTAATAAAAGATACACTAATAATAGATACACTAATAATAGATACAATAACAATAGGCATAATTATGACAATAATAATAATCAAAGTTTCTACTTATTTAGTTTATTGCATTTAATCGATCAATGAAATCAATATATATAATCGAAGAACGAAATATATTCTTAATATAATAAAAAGTAAAACCTATTTTACAACAATCTGTCCACATTATACAAAACTAATAGTTCTCTTCAGTTTGTTATTATGAAAAAGCGTGATTAAGCCCGAATAACAAGATTTTATTGCAGACTGGCCAGACCTCTCTCTAAGCCTCGTCCCATCAGACGTCCACACATTATCCTGTTGCAGAATGCAAAGTTCATAACATTTGTCCATTTGATAAAGTGTGGCCGGCATATATATACTTTACCTGTCATGTTATAGTCAAAATTGTTAGCTGATTTTTGGCAAAACAATTGACATATATACAGGAGAGGTACAAAAAAAATTGATTTTTATATTGATTTTTATAATTAATTTATGATTTGTTCACAAAATTAATTTTCAAATTTAGCATAAATAAAAATATCCGCTAGACGGATTAGCACCTGATTCGAATATTTTTTCTTCTTAAAATCAATTAGGTAACTGTCTTTTAGGCGCACATATCAAAGATCCATGCCGATTTCTAAGAGGTCTTAAAATTATAACTAAATAACAGTTTCTTAAAACGCGGTAACAACAGAAAATATTCTGTTTCATGTTGCAGTAAGCGCAGAATGCTTAAAGGACTATGATATTGATATAAGGATAACAAAAGAGATCTAATAATTATTGGAAAATGTGCATATATCATTTTTGATCTTTAGTTGTAACAAAAGACACGCAACACCCTGCATCATTCTGCCTGCTTAAGTGTAAACACAAATATATGTCCAAGCTGTTGGCCATAACTCAAGACACTTGTGCGTGTGATTGACATAAGCAGCTGAATGATATATATTTATGTATATGGGAAATTAAAGTATCTTCCCACACTTCAGAATCAATAAGAAAGTACGAATGCTCTAATTAATTGGCAGCAATTTGGGGGACAATACTTGGCAAACATCGATGTCGACGACAACAATTCGTGATGCTGACGCAAAGCATATCATCTTGAGAAATGGGTATTTGAACTTGTTGCCGTTTGGGTATGGTTTGGCCAAGTGCTCGAGGTGTGGCCGCTGTGTCTGCTGCAAACAGAATTATAGGAATCAATGGGACACATTATTAGTTAGATCATTGTGCCATGACGACGACGTCGCACTGTCTGGCAGAAAATCTTCTCAGGACTGACCAGAGGGCACAGGTAGATCTAGCTGCGAGACCTGCACGCCTCTATCAAGCGACCTTATTGCCATTGTCTGCCTGTTCGTAAAAAGGTTGAGAGGCAGTGCCCATCTCTCGGCTACGCTTAACAAAATTGCAGCTATTGTGCACACGTAGAAGTCACATTGATATTGCCGAGGCCTACATATAAATTCCAAAATGTTGTCAGTGCAGACTTTGTGTCTATCTTGTTGCACTTACTTGCTCAGGTGGGCCACTCTTTGTCCTTATGAATGACGCAAGCTGGCGTGTGAGTAATGGCAAGGATACGTGAACAATTGCAATTGATTCGGCCAGGGGACTGTGAGAAAATTGCCTTGCACCGGGCTCAAATCAGTCAGTTATATATATACGTATATATACATATCTAGCTACAAATAAGTACAGTAAATGATTAGGTTCTGGCTGAAAAGTTAAGGGCCTAAATTAATGGATTTTTTTTCTAATTTTCTTTGGTCGGCTTTGTGAATGAATTTTTCGCAGATTTCGCCACAAATGACTTGTGAGTTTTAACCCTTTTGCTGGGTATGGGTGCCGAAATGTGCCGACGAATGCAAACTGCAGATTTTTGCTTTGATTTTCGCCGGCATGATGCGAATTATTTGCCCAAAATGATCTGGTTAGCGGGAAGTGACAGTCATTAAGGCACGGGCAAAATGGCCGCAAAGTCGTGAATAAACATTTAAACGGGAAACATTTTGTCGAAATATCAAGAAAAGTTAAATAATTAATTTCCCATCTTAGATATCTTAGAGATATTTTGTTTAGTTAAAAGAACTTCAACGAATATATTGTTTTTTTTTTTTTCTGTGTAAACATAAATCGTATAATATGGCTCTGAATATTTAACTAGATGTTTTAAATGTAAATCGTATATATTGCTATTAACCGCATTCAGCATATAAAAATGTGAAAAATATTCTTAGGTATCTAATATGTAGAATGTCTCTTAAAACTCTTAATCGCTTAGCATATGAGAAAGGATCACTTAAGGATTTATTTACACATGTGTGGGTTTTTTTCGACGCTTCTACCTCACGTCACGTAGTGGAAATGTAAATATTCATTAAAAAATAAATAGCTCAATATTTGCATATATATATATATATCGTCACGGATATCCATATCGTCTTCAGAGGTAGTTTGTTTGTTTTGTGTGTGTGTGTGTGTGTGTGTGTTGTCTGCGCCAGTTTGCGCCAGGTACGCCTGAGGTAGATGCTCTAAGACAGAGTATTTCTTGGCCGGCACTGAGTTGCTTGTTGTTGTTGTTGTTGTTGGTAGATAGTTGGGCTTGTAGCGTGTTTAAAGCGTGCAAGCGCTTCACAGATCGCTGGAGCTGCAGCAGCTGGGCTTAACTGTTTAGTAGCCATACAGGTAGGGATACATGGGCATAAAGATGGCCTGTCCCAGCTGGCGCTCCTGCGGCATATGCGTCTTCATGTGCTTCTTGAGATGATCGCGACGACCGAACTTCTTGCCGCAGGCGCTGCACGGATACGGCCGCAGTCCGGAATGGATGCGCTTGTGCCGGGTCAGCTCCTCGTTGCGTGTGAAGGTCTTGCCGCAGGTTTCCACGTCGCACTTAAAGGGTCGCTCGCCTGTAAACACAATGAAATAAAGTCCAGTTAGTAAAGCAAATCGAGCATCTTTTGGCTGCGTTTAACTTACCGGTATGTATGCGAATGTGTCCCTTGAGCTGGCCATTGTTGGAGAAGGCGACATCACAGTGCGGGCATTTGAATTTCTTGGGCCGCTGTTTGCGTGCATTCAGCGCCTTCAGCTGCGCATCCTCGGCCATGACACGAGCGTACTCCTGCTCCATCAGGCCCAGGGTGAATGGATCCATGCCAAAGGCAGCCGCGGCCGGTGTATTGGCAGCGGCGGCAGCTGCTGCTGCTGCGGCATAGTACAGCTCGCTGGCGGGCATAAACGGCGCTGGCTGCGGCGACAACTGCTGTGGCGCCACCGCGGAGGCAGCTGGAAACGCTGGCTGCGGCGTGGCATCCAGCAGGGGAGTCGAGGTGCGCGTGTAGCTGCTGTTGAGGGCATCCTCGTAGCTGGATTTGCTGCTGCTGCTGCTCGAGCTCGAGCTCGACGCGGATGAGGAGGACTCCCGGTCGCTATCCTGACCATAGCAGCATCGGCTGCTGTTGCTGCTGCTGCTGGGCAGCTCCGTTTTGATGGTCACTGTTTCGGGTTCATGTTCACGTTCACGTTTCACGGTCCGGGCGGGCGGCGCTGGCGTTTGGCGTTGCGTATCCCAGGGACGGAACAGGCGCGAATACGTTTGCGGTGGGTGCATGTTAATTGTCGACATAATTTGTTTCGTTTTTTTTTTTTTTTCGTTTTAAATTAGAAAATCACTGCGTTAATTGGGCGGAGGAACACTTGGCTTGCAATTGCTTAGCCGGAGCTGTGTGTGTGCGTTACAAGATCTCAACTCGAACTGAACTCTCCCGGCCGAGCGGCGCACAATTTAAAGAGATTGGACGCAAAGGTCCTTGCCAGATAGGCCTACCTAGCTAGCGGCCTACCTATGCACGCAGACACACAGATTTACGCACACACGCACACTCCATTCATCGATTTGCTGCCTATCTGTCTGTGTGAGCGAGAGGCACGCTTCAGGGTTGTTTTTTCGCGGCGCACAACAATGGCCGCTCACGCAGACTCAAATACACAGATACTCACGCACACACACACACACACACACACACAGACACGCACACTCGCTGGCTTGTATATAATGTACTCGTGTATTTCATCTTGACTTTCGCTTTTAATGTGCATATTCCCAGCACTGCGCGTCTATATTTATTAAGTATATATGTAAGGAAGTATCTATTTGCCTTTTGTGACTCCCAACGGGGTGGAAGTTTAAGCGAAGCGTTCATGATTATGAATTTTACGCTTACCTACCGACAAACCCCCTTATACGCAATTTGATAAAAGTTGTTGTCTCTGAGGCGCAAAACTGGGCTGGGTTGGGCTGGGCTGGTCTGTGGCCCCCCGGCCCGTTTCCCCGCACCCGTTGCCAAACAAAGCTGAGCTGTAACTTGGTTATCTGTGGGCTCTGACTGGGTTGATTCGGGGCTTGCCTTAGCTGCTGCCCTTCTGTGTGGCGGCAATTTATTATTGAATTAAGTGCTTCTTACTGGGGGTTGGTCGCCTCTTCTTCGTCTTTTGTGGCAACTTTTCTGCTTTAAATATGCAAAATGTGTATCCTATATATGTATAAGAATACGCTGAGATTTCTAAACGGACCAAATTGTGGCTTCAATATTATTCTCTTTGGGGTTTGAGTTAAGGTTTGAGCATGTAAAATGGTACAGTTGCTTTAAGCTTATCGCCCGGGCCAGCTCCGGGGGATGACATGAATATATTGCGGCCCTTGGTAGGCGTTTGCGCCCGGCCAAATGGAGATATGCAAAAAAAAAAATAGATACATTAAAAGATAGCTGGTGTTGCTTAGACAAATGTGCTGGCATAGTTTTCAACTCGATTTATACAATATTCAGTTAGATAGTGCAAAGACATAAAAAAATATTGACAGCATTCAACTGTCGAAAAAGCAAGAGCAGGCTATTTTTTTAGCGTGGCGAATATATATTTAACAAAAATATTTTTCAAATGCAAATATTTGATTTAATTGGAATGAATATGCGTATTAAAAGATATTTTTATATTTTGATGTATTGAGATTATATGCATCTGTATTTCTTGCATACGTTTTGTCTTTCTGTATCTCATTTTCTAGTGAAAACAAATGTTTGATCGTATGTATAACATTTTGCAAAATTAAGTTGCTTTTGTGTAGAAATTGCCGAAGAGTAAGGAATCAGAGTATTTCATTTGAAAGAAAAATACATAGAGAAGTCTTATCAAATAATATATACGAATAAATATAATTCTAAATAGAAATAATTTATAAATATGTAATTCATTATTCATATCTGCCATAGTAATAGTAATAGTTATGTTTGTCAAAATTACGTTGTGAACAGTGATTTTGTAAAAAAGAATCATTTAATATTGATGCTGTTATTAATCGATTGTTTTGTTGTATTAGCCGCGGTTCTGCTGAACTGTGGCTTCACAGTTGAGGAGATCGCTGCTCGTCAACACATAAGCCTACCGCTGCGTCATTAGAAACAAAAGGGAAATCATTAGGATTAAGTGCAAGATGCTTTGTTCTCTGCAACGCTAATGAGTGCAACGGGTGCATTTCTGCGGGGCTGCATTCGGGTTGCATCGGGTTAGGTAGGGTTTTAGGGCCGTGCTTGTAGGTGGTTTTAGTACCTGTAATAAAAGTGCAGTGCGCCTAAGCGTAGATTCATTCACGACTCGTGTTACCAGGGACTCATTCATAAATGCGCTTTGCCAGGAAACTGCGCCCGGCTAGCTGTCAGGTAGGTGGTAGGTGGGCTGCCGGGCGCGGCAAGGCCATAAAAAATCCACGAGCTTATTTGTGTAGGCTAGGCACTTAGGCTAGCAGCCGCCTTGGATTGGGACTTTCCCCGCATGTTTGTCAAATAACGAGCGCGGGATTTTCCACGCATTCGGAACGGACTCGGCCCCGGCAGCACCAGCAGCAGCAGCAGCAGCAGCGGCATCGGCATCGGCGTCATAAAGTAGCACCTACCTAAAACAATGCAATGATCATAAATGTTGAAAGAAGATATTGTAAAATAATTAAATATCGCACATTTCCAGCCAGTTCATGTTTCATTCATGGAACATGTCTGCGACGCTTTTCTAGCTATACCTGAGCATAATTAGAGCAAACAATAAGGATATGGCGTCATATTCATACTTTGATTAATGAGGAAATTTCACGAGCTGACGCGAGCACGGCAACATATGGGAAGGCGCCTCATTAGATGGCGACGTTGTGGCATCAGGGGAAACAGGGAAAAACACATCCTAACCAAACTTCGAATGCAACTTCTGCCAACATGCTTATCGTCCCGTTCCGCTCAACGGAGATAAGCCAAGCGTAGCCATGGCCCCGATGGATCGTGCGCTGTGCTCAAGATTAGTTTCGTGATCACAATCCGTGCACAGATCAGGATACATCCGGCTCTATTGGATTAGGCACAAGCATGCTAGGCTTTTGAGCGCCTATAATAGCTTGAATTGATCATTTCAAGTAATGGACTAGGTGTGATCTTTATAGATCAATTATAATCGGGATCAACGAGTGATCAATATGAGAGCAGGCGGGATTAGGGGGGGCTAGGATTTCGCCAGAGACTAAACTGAGAGTTCAGCTGGAAACTAGATTTGTATTTTCGCTGCTACTGATACTATAAAAGTAAAATTTTTAAAATAAGATTAAGATAGTTAAAATCCTAGTCACATATAAAATATATTTATGTGCTTATTTCAGTATATGTTAAATTTGTGATATCTTCAAAGTCTTATATTAGATACTAATAAAAACAAAATATTGTTTTACCAGAAAATATATGCGTCTATGTGGAAATTCTCCTGTACATTATTTTAAGTGGATATAAAAAATACCGTCTTTAACTTAAGCAAATGTTAGCAACTTGCAGAATCGGAAGTACACAAAATGATACTATATAATCTCGTCAATCTTATGATGACATATATGTATAATATGTTTTTGGAGCATAATTTGGAAATTTTGTGTAACAATTGGTATAAACAGATTATTTTAAATTTAGATATATACATATTCAAGTCTATGCGCCGAGAGTCCGAGAGCTTATCTTTGAAAATGTATAAGCAATATACGTACAAGAAAAGAGGGACAGTATGTTTGATTAAGAGGCATCTAATAGTCGATCACATTTGTAGCATTTACGAAAACCTGTGCACTTCATAGCCTGAGACTTATTTTAAAAAAATGTATAACAAATCAAATGGTTGTGAGTAAAGTACATTTGATTACGGGGTATCTAATAGTCGAGCACTGGCATTTGTTTACACTCGCTGGCCACACCCACTCGCAAGTTCATTCAAATGACAGTCAAGTTCAGAGGCACAGAATTTAATAATAGAACTGTTTGCTTTTGTTTATTGTTGATATGTGTGTAGCACACACGATTGCGTACATTTATTAATATATTATATTTATTTAACAAATTTCATCATTTCCAAAGCTCGGAACAAAAGCTCCCGTTCATTGAAGCGAAGCACTTGACTCGTTTATTCGTGTGGGATCCAATTAGTTGATTTCTGTGCGCTCCGAACGTCGCGTTGTTCAGTTGGAATTTCGTTGTCTCACCGTACGGGTTGGCTAGATCGGTGAACAATCAAGATGCTAGTTGAGTTTTTGGCGATTTTTGTCGTCGTCCTGGTGCTGGCCTATCGCTGGGCCACAGCCAACTATAATTTCTTCAAGGAGCGTGGCATAGACTATGAAAAACCATATCCATTCGTGGGAAACATGTACAAAATGGTATTGCGTCAACAATCCATGTTTGATCTGATCGTCGATTTGTACAACAAGGGCGATGGCAAGTGAGTATATTCGCGCTTCGACTAGATAGCAAACAGGTTATTGCATATTATAGCTCAGTAGGTCGAGATTTATATTTAGTCTAAGCACAATCTCATCACATCATTAAATCATTAGATAGAAACATACGCATCTAGATACATTTATCAGTAGCTACTCGTTTACAAAGATACATTTGCTCTCAATCAATTAGAATGTGCGCAGCTGTAATTGAATTTGAGTTCGTATTCTACATGCGTTTGCTTTACGATTAAGTATTCAGATATTTCTAATTATGCACACTTGATTGTTTGTGCTTAAAAAATAGATTCTATACAAAAGTATCTGTTAGTTGACCCTAAGGCCAGATCTTAACTAAAATATAATATATTCATTTCCACTTAAGCTATCTTAATGCGTTTGCTAGATAACCTATCTGGTTTGATAAATAATACCCTTGTAGAAGGTATTAGTATTTTGTCATTAAATGTGTAAGGCCAATATGGTAAGCATATATATTCAGGATCAGTGCCAATGGCTGAGTCGACACAGCAATATCCGCCTCTGTTTTTTTTTTTTTTTGAGGCAATTATCAATCATCATTAATATATCTTGATTAATATTGACATGTATATATTGCACTCTACTGTCCTCATATGAGCAAAATCTTATTTGATTATCAGACCATATCGGACCGACATTGTATAGCTGACAAAGGAATGAATAGAAAAAAAGATTTTTTCTTTAAAAACCCTTATTGTTTTTCAAAATATTTCGACTAAGCAAGCCCCTTGCTTCTTTATATAAACAATATCTCATCAACATCGGACTGATATATCATTTAGCTGTATAGGAAGAAATGGTAAAAATGAGTTTGATAATATTTTCAGTTAATTCAGGAAATCAGCTCTGGAAAATCGTAAGGCAAATGTCTGAAAGGGTATTTAACTATCGGCGAGTCCAAGATATTCGTTTTTGTTTGTTCACATTTTGAAATTTAAGGTCTCAGTTTCAAAGCCTCAGATATGTGTCATTATTGAGTACAGACAACAAAATTTAATAATCGACGTTATCAATGTTATTTTTACTTCGATTATGATAAGTTTAGATAGTATAGAAGTACGAGTAAAACGAAATGATAAATGCTAATCTTAAGTTATTTTTTAGTATAACTGTTTAACGGTCGAGATAAGTTTTGATGACTCACAAATGTTGGACACTCTTATCGGTCAATGTCACCCAAAATGGAATGAATACTTTTTGTTTTATAGGGTATTTGGCATCTTTGAGCAGCGCAAGCCGCTGCTGATGATACGCGATCCGGAATTGATCAAGCAGATCACAATCAAGGATTTCGATCACTTTATCAACCATCGCAATATCTTTGGCACCGATGATGACAATCCGCACGACATGGACAATCTCTTCGGCAGCTCCTTGTTCTCGATGCGCGATGCTCGTTGGAAGGACATGCGCAGCACACTGAGTCCTGCCTTTACGGGCAGCAAGATGCGCCAGATGTTCCAGCTGATGGACATTGTGGCCAAAGAGGCAGTCGATGGCCTCAAGCATGATCAGGTGCCGGAAAGTGGAATCGAGCTGGACACGAAAGACTACTGTACGCGATTCACCAACGATGTCATTGCCTCGACGGCCTTTGGCTTGCAGGTCAACTCGTTCAAGGAGCGAGAGAACACATTCTATTTGATGGGCAAGAAGTTGACCACCTTTAATGCGCTGCAGAACTTGAAGTTTTTTTTCTTTACCATTGCCAATCGACTCTGTAAGGTAATATTTGAATTAGCTGCCGATTGGTTATCCGAACTAATATTTTCCACCACCTACTTGCAGCTGCTGAAAATTTCGCTGTTTGACAGGAAAAGCGTTGACTATTTTGTGCGCCTGGTGCTGGATGCCATGAAGTATCGTCAGGAGCACAACATTGTGCGGCCCGACATGATCAACATGCTGATGGAGGCACGCGGCATGTTTCACACGGATAAGCCCAAAACGGGCACAGTTCGCGATTGGAGCGATCGCGACATAGTTGCCCAATGTTTTGTGTTCTTCTTTGCGGGCTTCGAGACGTCGGCGGTGCTCATGTGTTTCAGCGCACAGGAGCTCATGGAGAACGAGGATGTGCAGGCGAGACTGTACGAGGAGGTGGCGCAGGTCGACAGCGATCTGGAAGGCGGCCAACTGACCTACGAGGCTCTAATGGGCATGAAGTACATAGACCAGGTGGTGTCCGAGGTGCTGCGCAAGTGGCCGGCGGCCATTGCGATTGATCGCGAGTGCAACAAGGACATTACCTATGTGGTCGATGGCAAGAACATTGAGATCAAGAAAGGCGAAGCCGTTTGGCTGCCCACCTGTGGCTTCCATCGTGATCCCAAGTACTTCGAAAATCCGACCAAGTTCGACCCAGATCGTTTTAGCGACGAGAACAAGGACAAAATTCAGCCATTCACCTACTATCCTTTCGGCATTGGTCAACGCAATTGCATAGGTGAGTGAATATGGGGAAATATTGAAACATTTTTCTTGCTAAACATCTTTTGCTTAGGTTCACGATTCGCACTACTCGAGGCAAAAGCCATGATATACTATTTGCTGCGAGAGTTCCGTATTGCTCCGGCCAAGAATAGCTGCATTCCCCTAGTCCTCAGCTCCGCCGGCTTTCAATTGAAGCCCAAAAATGGTTTTTGGGTTAAACTCATTCCGCGTAAATAAATCGATCAAATTGTGATTTTATTCAAATGTAACAAACTTTAAATAAATAATGATTATATTTCGTATTGAAACATAATGTATCTATGTATATTCATGTGCATATTCTTTTGAAATAGATAAAGATGCATAAATATAGATTGAAATAGATGAAATAAAATTTGTATAAACATCGGGAAAAGGCCCAACGGCCTTGTCGTAAGGCACAACCATGGACATTTTTATTTAATACATATATATTTTATTAAAAGAAATTAATAAATGGTTATATTTTTGCACAAAAGCCTAATTAAAAGCTGAGTTAATTTCTATTAGAATCTGGTTTAAGGAAAATTGGAAAGCACAAAAATTAATTATACATATACAAAGCCCCCGTTTGGTATTGAGTCTATTGTGGCATCAAGAGGCGCTTGGCGGGGCGGTTGCCAAAGCAGCTGGATGCTCGAATAAACTGGCCATGTTATGGGTGTGAATGGCGGCAGGGAGTGGCAAAGGTAGAGGCAGCGACAGCGGCAGCGGCAGAGACTTGCCACAACGGAAAGCCGCACTTTAACGCGAAGACATAAATCAAATTAGTTTTTCAAGCGAATGCACTCGACTAATTCGAGCGGCGAACGCGCCAAGGTACGGCGCGGATGTTGCTCATTTTAGTACGCAGAACGCAGGACAATGGTCCTGCGGTTCTACAACAGGCAACAAAAGGATACAACACCCCAAGTCACAGGCACACACACACACACACACACACACACACACAGATATCGATTAATATTTATCCCGTGACACAACGCCACAAAAACCGCGGCGGCCGTTGGTCCATTAAAGGGCAAACAAAGAGCAACCAACCCCAGCCCCGGACCCGGGCAGCGAGGATTCCTCGTGCACAATGGCAGGCGACAGCCAACACGCGCGTTTAAGTCGCATCCACTTGAAGTATGATCAATGCTGGTTAGTTTTCGATATCCTTGGCGCACGCTTCTCGCTCCTCGCTCCCTTTGGGGCATGCCACAGGCAGCAGGCAGCTGTGTGCGCACTCTCTCGCTCGCACACATGCGCGCTCTCTCCAGGCGTATGTGTGCGTGTGAGTGTGTGTGTGTGTGCGTGCGTGTGAGCAGCTGGCCTGCAAGCAATGGCGTTTGTGTTCGCCCCGCCTACCGCGCGCGCGTTTTGTGCGCGTTTTTTGTCGTCGCCCAGCTTAGGGCAAAAACATTTCCAAAGTCAAAACAGTTGTGAAAATTGTCGAGTAAAATTTCAATTTCGTTACAGTTGCAATCGCTGAAAATGCACTTAACCTCAAATCCAATAATCCGCTTGTAATGCAGTTCATTCAAACGGGCTCCGACTACCGCTGGCCAGTGTCCTTTGTGTGCATGTCCTGCGGTGTTTTTCAATTTGAATACCTATACGGGCAAGAGTATCTATGTTATGTGTGTGTGTGTGTGTAAAGTGTTGACCTCGGCGGGTAATCGTTCTATTATTAATGGACATTTGCCTTCACACAATGTCACAGTAGCATACCCTGCCGACTTGGCTACCGACTAGATTTGATTTACCTGCCCAGGATTAGTTCGATTTCACTTTGGGACTTGCATGCAAATCAAGCGGGCCATTCAATGATAATATTGTGAACAAATATAGAAATAAGTTATTGAAACGATCTGGCAGAACTGTGAAAAAAGTATTGTATATAAAAATAAATAGATTTAGTATTCCTACCTTTGGTCTAAAATTTCCTATAAGTCAACATTCATTGTACATATTCTTTAAAATATTTCACTCTTAAATTAATTGACAAAAGCTTTTCAAAATGTTATTGCCGAGCTAAAATATGTTTCCTTTTGGGCTTATCATTGTATACTTTGGGCAAATATAACTTATATTCCTTGAGTTATTTCAGTTTTAATTTCATTGGTAAAAGTTCTTTAAGAGGGTATCTCCGATCTCTATCTAAAATCTAGAAATTGTTTTTCTTTTGGCTTGGGTTAATAAATTTCATATTCCTTGAGTTATTTTACGTTTAATTTAATTGGCAAAATTTCTTTAAAATGTTATTGCCGAGCTAAAATCTTGAAATTTGTTTCGTTTTGGGTTTGCTTGAACGAACGAAATTTTCTTAAATTTGCCATGTGACACGCTTTAAGGCTTATGACAGATTTACAAGATGAAATCGTCTTAGGATTCGTCAGATTTGTGCAAGCGTGCGCAAATAATACGTGAAAATCTGTAACAATTGTCGGTAGCGGCACGCTCCCTAGGGCCAAAAGCCTACCCATTGACCGGGCCGTGCCTTGATCCGCCTGTCTTCGGTCTTCCTTGGCTTCCTGTCGAGAAATGCGGCACAAACATAAGTGGCTCGGCGGCGGTCAAGTCAAATGCAAATTGAAATGTACGAAAGCGAAACAATGACTGGTCGGAATTCTGCAGAATGTTCACAATGCTGCCGAGGATTCTCGATGCTGCTGGCAAAAGCCTTTTCACACTTATCAATGCCGGACTTTGTTGGCCATTGAATGGCTAAGTTGGCAAGGGCTGAGGTGAAAGGCAACGGCAGAAGATCGCAATTGAGCCGGGCACTGTGACTCCTATGGTGCAATTATGATGGAAAGGTGCTAATAATAACCGATAAATTCATGTTTACCTAACAGCCCAGGCTCCTGGTCAGCTGTCAAGTGTCTGTGTGTGATGAATGAATGAATGGATGCATGAATGCATGAATTGCCAACTTGCATGAATGATGAACTGTATGTTTTTGTGCCCTAAAGTGCCCTAAAAATGCAGTTGTAGTAGGTGTCTGACATAGGGTCTAACTCGGCCTCAACCTGGCGTTTGTTGCATTTGCCAAACATTGCGGGGGAAAATTGCGCTAGATTTGATTGATCGGCCATATTTTCCGCTCGTGCAATTTTCTATAACAAAAATGCACAAAAAAAATACATTTTTTTTTTTGATAAAAAAGGAAAGAATATGTTGGCTACATAATGAGTGCATGCCAATTGTTTGATTGATGAGCAGCATACGATGGTGCTTCAGTAAAAACTTGATTTTATATATCGTACGGATAATGTGCATATGGATGCGAAGCAGAAGAGACTTTCGATCACAGGAGAGTCTGTGCTCTTATGTAAAATGTTGTGAAACCGCAAAAACTACTATAAATTGACATCATAAATTAAAATTAATTCCACCCTTCTTCACATGGGCGCTCCACCAGGCCAAACCCAGTCACAGCCCTCGTTGCGGCAATGGACTTTTTGGGAGGGTTGGCCCTCTGGGGTTGGTGCGTGAAAAACCCAAAAGCCAGAGGCCCGTCAAGCGGCTGAAAAAAAAGGGGCGAGCACGCAGCCATCAACACGATTATTTCGCATAAAATAAATTGATTCCTGTTAAAAGTCAAGCATGTCCCTTGAAGCTAGAAAAGGAACTATACACACACACACACACACACACAGAGAGACAAACCGAAAACAGCGCTTGAAAAATGTCGAAATTTGTCCACAATAAGTTCTTTATTGAGTCGCCATAGACAAAGGATTACCTTGCCGCTATAAACCACGGCCAAGACCGAGCCACTCGCCACTCGACCCAGCGAAACTGTAGACAATGAGACAATAGTTAGAAGACGGGGAAAACTGTGCCACATCTTTGGCTTGAATTGCGGCAGGCAACCGCATCTGTAGCGGGGCTGTCCCGACACCTTTGCCTTGACACCTCCTTCCCTTTTTGAGCGTTTTGTTCAGCCATCTATTCAATTCAATAGAAAGTGGCATATAAATAATGATGAGCGAGCCAATTTTGGGCAGTTGCGTCAAGAGCAAAGTCGAGCTGCTGTCTCTTTTGTTTTGTTTTCTCGGTCTGCTGTGGCTCTGACAATCGTAAATGCGACATGTCCTTAAATGCGGTCGCCAAGGTGGCTGGCTGGCTCTCGTCCTGGCCCAGACGCTCGGTCGCCGCTCAAATTGAGCGTATGAAATTGATTAGCCAACGCATTTTAGTTACAATATTTGTATTTAGTTTATAAACTAATTCGAAATTCGGTGGCCCATTAACAAAGTGGCGTGCGTGAAGCATGTGCGATGCCACCTACAGAGCTGTGCTGGATTCATTGACAAGGATCAATGTCGCCATGGTTGGGTACGTGCGCCCTTAAATAGTTCAGTTGGTTTGCTGGAATAAGTTAAGGCAATGGTTAACAGGAGGTAGACGTTATACTTAAGTGCATTTATGAGTTGGGAAATCTCTGTGAACATTTTTTTGTATACTTAAAAGATGCTCCTTCTGAGCCTTTGTTGCTTTTTATGTGTTCTTTTTAAAGAGATTATTTTTTTTTTAATATACAAATTATCGTTATAAGTCGAATAGCTTGAATAGATGTTGAAAGTAGCCAAGTCGATCGAACTTTACCCCCGCTTGGTACTATTTATGCAGATATTTATATATAATTATATATGTTATATGGTAGATATTATATCTCTATATACAAAACTGTGTGTGCTGACTGACTGACTGACTGAAGAGCTGGGAAACTGAAATTTGCACTTAGTTACCTTATGTGTTAAGACGGGGTTACGGGAAAAACTCCTATATGAAATGGGGCTAAAAGATTTGGTGGGTGACGTTTCTTTTCATTTCCAAGAATATATGTAGAAAATCATTTGATCGTGCCAAGGGCATGGCCGGGTATACCCGCTATTATCCTATATAGACATGGGTCAAAATTTTCCACCTACATATAAGCCTCGGTCAAATCTCATCTGATTTCCATAAACTTTGGCTTTTTGCTCATGGTTTGGCCTCGAAATCAAGCTGGCATCTATCTGGAAATCTGGAAATATTATTTTTGATCAAAATTTATGTATAAATGGTACCCTTAACTATACTATATTTCGACATGGGTAAGAAGGGTATATTAAGTCATGCCGTAGGACGCCTACTTAAATTGTTGACAGAAGGGTTTAGGGTATCTCACACTTACTTATTAATACTACCCATTTGTAATACCAATCGCGACATCTTCAGTTTTCCCATGGCCCACTACAATGAATTCAAAATCGCTGTCAATAAACAATAGACAGCTAATTC